GCCTGCCCATGTTGCTGACGGGTTACGGAGTAACGTATAGTTTGCCGCGTTGGGCTTACCCATGTTGCCACAGTGCAGGTCTGCATCCCGGGGTGAACGAGAGAGTCAAGGCCGCACGAGAGGAGAAGTAGGGGTGGCAGTGACTTTGCAGAGCGTACAGAGACCGCTGCCAGCACCCAGACGTAGCGACGAGGACTTATCGCCCGCATTGGACAGGACAGGGTCTTGTTTGGCCCGTGGCCTCGGGAAGCACTGGAAGTACTCTGTAGAGAAAAAAAAAGAAAAAAAAGAAAAAGAAAAGGAAAAGGGCAGGCAAGGAAGACGCGAGGCAGCGACTGTGGTGCCAACTCTTGGGCTTGCGACTCCTTGGCCACGCCTAGCGACATCGCTAGCCAGTGATGATTCTTGAGTTGGGCAACTCAATCCCGTCAACTTGAGGTGTGCCGAGTTCCAATGACTTGCAAGGCTAATTTTCACATCTTTATTTTAACGTTGCTTGTCCTACCCAATCTATAAGTAGTAATAAGCATTGGGTTCCAGATGCCTCACTCTGTCTGGTCTGGCAACACTCCCCTGCGTGGCCTGACCCTGGGTGCTTCCTTTTTGTGCCCTTGCTTCTTCCCACACCCTACTCCGTACTCCGTCGGGACAGAACAGAGCACGACAGAGAGACAAGTGGCCGTCAGAATCCAGCCGCGTCTTGTCTTGTCTTGTCTAGCAGCACCCTTACCCTTCCTTGCCTTGCCCCATCTGCCAACAGATGGGGAATCGAGAAAATTCGCAGAATTGGCTATCGCGACGCAATATCCAACCCAAGGCCCCCGAAACCTTCTCTCTGGACTTTCAGTGTCGCTAGTCTTACCGCAAAGGACGTGGCCTTGCCGATGTCCCTCAGGGGCCAGTCATTGCGTATCAGGCAGACTAGCATCCCAGCGATGAATGCATCGCCAGCACCGACAGAACTGCCAAGTAGGAGCCGAGGAGACCCTCCAGTTAGCATTGACAGGCAACGCGACCGTGGCGCAAATCGTAGGCGTGCGCCTCCTGGGGGAATCGGCATTTCTCCCACTCTCTGATGTCGCACGAGAGTCTCTGCGAAAACGCCTGACGAGTTGGAACTCACTCTACGACAGGTATTTGGCCAAACTCACTCTCCACGGGCCGGTGGAGACAAGCTCCGGTTGCCCGAGACATGACCGTCGCCCCGTCGGCACCCCAAGTGCACAATCCAAGTGAACTGCATAGGCCAAGTCAGCCGAATCGGTGGAAAGGGAGGGACCCGAAAAAAAGAAAAAGAAAAGAAAAGACCTGCAGGGCGGGTTCTCGCCATGGGGTGTAACTTACCCTCGGCGAAGGCGTTCCTTTGTGAGACATGCTTTAGCAGACTCGTGTCCTCGGCTCTGGACATTACATATGATTGCCCATCAGTCATCAATCAGCATGGTCGTTCAGGCATTGTGTCTGAGTAAGGCGAGGGCGCAGCAGAAGCGGCGGGGGAAAGAAAAGACAAGAAAAAGAAAAGAAAACAAGGAAGAATAGGTTGATGAGACGACGAGAGAGGACTGAGTACAACCTGCCAGGGCTATCTCACCTCTGCCCACGCTCGGGAGTAGAACACAACATCCGCTTCGTCCGCGAGTTGCCCTAGCCCCTCTCTGCCCGGCTTCTCGATCTCGACGCTGATGTTTGCTTGGGGCAGCTCCCGTCGCAGTAGACGCATGCATGTGAGGGTTGTGTCTGGGATGCGGCCCTGTTGTTTCCCCCCCGGGTGCAGAAAGCAAAACAAAAGTCATCAGTCACAGCTCCTCTGCAGACAGAAATACTACAGTACAGGCGCCAGATCTTGTAGCAAAAGGAACAAAAGTCGGTACTCACCTCGAAGTGCCACCAGGTCTGCTGCTGCCCTTTGAAGCCGTCTGCAATCTGGGCAAACTCATCACACGTCATTTCCGGCAACGCGTTGTAGTTGACAATAGTCCGGCTATCGTTTTGCTGGCTCCTAATGATGTAGCTGCTCGCAGCCTCCGTATGTTCCTCCCGATACAGGCAATGCTGGAAACTGACCGTGGTATCTCGTCCAAACGACGAGATGACTCGCCTGGTGCTGGGGCAATCGTGGCGCGGCAGACACGACACCAAGTGTAGTTGCGTGTCGTCTTCATCTGTAATCAGCTGCTGGAGCACCTCGAGTGAGTTCGGACAGTTGCCTCCCCTGCGAGTCTTGAGATTCGTCGCCCGGAGCTTGGCATCTTCTTGCGGGAAGTGAGGCACGCTGCAGGGTATGTCAATATGAGCAAGTGGCTCGTCGAGCAGGGGGGGGGATGACTTGCCTGAGGATTGTGTCTAGGTAGCACGCTCCAACAAGGATGAGATGCTTCATTTTTTTTTTTTTGGTGACGTCAGATATCTGCTTTTCTTGACCTGCAGCAACGAGGTTCAAGTGGGACACGACAGCAGAGAGAGGTGGTGTGGTGGTGGTGGTGGTTGAAACTTGCATGCTTTATCGGTCCTTGGTTTTCCCGAGCTGTAATAAATTGCATGTTGATTATATTATCGCGAAACAAAGTGTTGGTGGCGGGTTGTATCTAATAGTAGTGCTCCGTAATCATGTTTGGGCCATGTGCATGGAATCACTAATTACTCGTCGGATCTCAGCGGTTGATTATTGCCAATGGTGGCGTTGAAACATGTACCAGGCTGCCGACCCTATTGGCATCATGACCAAAGGGGCTCACCTCCAAATACACACTGCCTGTGTGTTTGAAGGCGGTGTCGTCTTCGTGGTCCGGCCTTGTTGGTCGGGTTGTGACGTGTCTACCCTGGCCGTTTGCACCGCCCGGGGAGCCCCGACTAGCAAAGGTGGGGAGAGACGAGTCCTGACAGAATCCCAGGGCTTGTTTCTTGATTTTGTGGTAGCTGACTTGTTTGTGCGCTCGAGTTTCAAGGCAATGGAATGGGACTTGACGACGGGTTGGACCCGATGGCTTGTATAATACGTCCTCGTTTCGTCAATTTGTCGCCGTGGTCTGGAGTAGTGAGTAACCTGTGCTGCTGCTCGTCCAGTATAGCCATGTAGGCTGTAGCTACCTTCGGTGAGCCACGCCGGCCTGACACCTTTTGCTGAAGACATATGGGATATTTCCCCTCAGCAAGAGCAGTTCCTGTTTGCCGAGCATTTCAAACGCATATCTGCTGTGCTGAGTATATAAGCACAGCTGACCGTGCTGTCTCTATTCGAGGGCACCTGTGCTCGGAAACACCTCTGTTCGCCATCCCTATATTTGAAGGCGCAATTTGAAGCTGGTATTTCCCGTGAAGAGACGCGAAACGCTTCCTCCCAATGCGAGTAAGTGTAACCCATGGGTGGAGCATTCCCTGAAGACTTGGCCAAATCTCCATCGCCGGTTTTCGGTGACCATTGATTGCCTTTGCCTTGCCCCATCAGTCATCGCCTCCCTTGTGGCGGCCATGTTCGGAAGCATGCCAAACCGTCCAACCGGAGTCACGCCGCGCCACCAAGACCGTCGGGAGTTGCCTAGACTCCAATGCGGGAGGCATGTCATTACTCAATATTGTTGGCGGGGAATCACGCGCAGATGGCGGAGTTTCCTCCTGCTGAGCACTCGGAGTATTCCCTACCCAAATGGCTTCTGGAGGCACCCATGTGAGAGTTGCGTTGGTTGCAGCTTTGAGATACTTCCTCCAGACCACAGTTCTACCCATACTATGGTCCTTAAGACAAGGAGCAAAATCAAGATCCCGGCTAATGCTTCTGGCACTTTTGTAATTTTCGAGGTAAAAGTTTATCATGGCTACGGTGCCCGTGCCTTCGAGTTCACGTTTCAGCAGGCAGGCACGCTCCGAATATTGATACGGAGCAATTTCCACCCTAAATGCTTTCGGGTTTTCGGGTCCTTGGGTTCATCGGGGAGGGCCGAGAAAAGTCATTCCAGTCATTCGAGCGAGCCCTTTTTCGTCTGTAGCCGCTAGTTGTTTATCCTTGGCGACTCACGGAACTCATCTAGGCGGAACCAAAGTCCTATGTTGCTAATTTGCGTGCTCAGCAACATGCTTCTGGCCAGCACCTGGTGGATGTTGCTGTGTGTATGAGATGTAAATAGTATGCTTGATGGATTACTCTGAGACAAGCCCGTCCGGTGAATACGTGCCCTCCGTACCCCATTCCAGATTGACAAACTGACTAGACAATCAGCATTGATCAGGTCTCGGTGTGAGCAGGCACAAAGCCCAGCTCGCGGTTACTCACTTTCCGAGAGGACTGCACAACTGAGGATGCAACGTCAGTCCCCAAATCACACCGCCTGTACGGATTTTTAGTTCGTTAGCGTTGTCCATCCACGCGAAACTCCGCAAGCGTCTACCCACTTAGCAGCACCGGTTTCAAATCATAGCGGGAGCGTCTCAAGCGGATTGTCCGCATGACCGCGTCAACATCAAGAGGCGGACCAAAGACTTGGTCGCCGGTATTCGTTCACCGAAGAGCTGCAGAGAAGATTGCGCCATGATTAGCGGTATAAATAGAATGCCGGCGAGATATATCGCGGCCATGTAGACATTTTTGCCTCCTCAAGAGCATTCACGTCTGAAGCCACACAACATCACGAATTGGCTGCAAACCAGGCCGGACAGTTTTTGTGCGTAACTATTCGAGCGACGACGATTCTTCTTAAACAGCGTCATCGACCACCGAGGATCCGAGGGCAGTGATTTATCGTGTTCCCTTGCGCTTTGATCTGCGTTGCGCATGATACCCAGCAATCATGGTACAGCTGGTTGAGGTTGCAAGCCGGCTTGGGCTCATCGCAGGAGTCTTTTCATTATGTGTCAGTATTCCGCCTAAATGATCAATGATTTTGAACAATGTGTTCTGGGCATTCCGTACTCAACCGATGTAGGTCATTGCATATACTGCAGGCTACTGGATATACAACCTGTGGCTGCATCCTTTAAGCAGATACCCTGGACCTCGGTTCTGTGCAATGTCTCGAATCCCTTACCTACGGTCTCTGCTCAGCGGAAAGCATCATGTCACCGTATTTCAACTGCACAAGAAGTACGGGCCGATTGTCCGCATTGCACCGAATGAGCTTGCTTTCAGTGATGCCGAGGCCTGGAGGGATATCATGGGACACAAGAACAATGCCGAAGAGTTTCCCAAGTATCGTCCCCTCTATCGACCAGGCCGAGCTGTACTCACGCCACAGGACATAATATACTCAGGCCGGGACGAACACGCCGCATTGCGGCGGCAGCTATCTCACGGGTTCTCTGACAAGGCCATGAGAGCCCAGGAGCCCCGTATCCTGCAATTTGTCGACCTCCTCATCAAACGGCTACACCAGTGGAACAATAATGGCAAGAGCCCCATTCGCATGGACTCGTGGTACAATTTCACCACATTTGATATCATTGGTGATTTAGCCTTTGGAGACTCCTTCAACTGTCTGGAATCCTCCGACTACCACGAATGGGTCAAGTGTATTTTTGAGCTGAGTCGTCTGGGAGTCTATTTCCAGGTGGAAGATTATTATCCCTTGATGAAGCGCATCGTCAACCGAATGCTTCCGAACCGGGCGCTTGAGAGGCAAAGCTTCCACAACACGGTCAACAAGGCCAAGTTGCAGAAAAGAATAGAAGGTGGTGATCGGGATGATCTGATAGAAGGGCTCCTGAAAAAGAAGGATGAGTGGAACCTGTCGATGGAGCAGTTAGAGTCGAATTCCACACTGCTCGTTATTGCAGGATCTGAGACGACGGCCACAGTCCTCTCTGGTGTCACGTACCTGCTCGCATCCAATCCTCACACCCTTGAGCGCTTGACCGATGAGGTTCGATCGACGTTTGACAGTGAAGACGAGATTACCATCGAATCCGCCAGCCGACTTCGTTATATGCTGGCTTGTTTAGACGAGACGCTGCGAATCTATCCACCCGTGGCAACCTCGCTTCCAAGAATTACTCCAGAAAAGGGTGGAATTGTTGCTGGGACATTCTTTCCCCGAGGTGTGAGTGGCTTATCTATCCCCCAACGGATGTGACAAGAGATGAACGAAGCAAACGAGTACTTACCCGACACCAGACTGTCGTAGGCGTCCACCATTGGGCTGTATATCACATGGAAGAGCACTTCAAGGATCCCTTCAACTTCCATCCGGAACGATTTTTGGGGGACCCAAAGTTTGCCAACGACAACCGAAAGATCTTGCAGCCATTCCACGTCGGGCCGCGAAATTGTATTGGCAGGAAGTGAGCATCGCACCTGCCCAGTTGTCTTTTTTTGCCATCGTCCCTCAACGCGCGCACATGATCGTCTGATTTTCACATGGCAGAAAAAAAAAAAAAGACACGCAAAGCAATGCTAACGGACTGCAGTTTGGCATACGCCGAGATGCGACTGATCCTCGCGCGTGTAGTATATAATTTCGACATGAAACTTGCGTCCGAGAGTTCTGGGTGGCTGAACCAACGAGCCTTTACGCTGTGGGAGAAGAATCCCTTGATGGTGTACCTCACTCCCAGAACTGACAAGGAGAAGTCGGCACTGTGAAAGAAGGCATCGTCATCTAGTAGTACCACTGCCTCGAGAAAATAAAATATTCTGGCGCAAGGGCTACCGAGGTAGAGCGGGTTTTGCCACGTTGTCCAGGAAACGGCTGGATGCCTCTCCCATTGTCCCGTTGTACATGAGACTGCTATAGTGAGGATGTTGACGTGGACACTCTGATTTTGTGTTGAACGAGTCCAATTTGCGGCAGTTTCGCCGTGCTCAATGCTCAAGGGATCAATCGTGAATAACACGACTTTTGTCGCGCCCCCACTCCCGTCGGGTACCCGAATGGTTTGCCTTTCACACGGCTGATGTATGCTTGTACATTCCTCTGCGCCCTCAGGAGCAATCAGAAAACTTCCTTATCCAACCTGGTCAATCTATGGTCTGTCCTGTGCTTTACAAATTTGGCTTGCCAAATCTCCGCCTGCAGTTTCTTCGCAGGAAGTGAGTCCTGGGACCTGTGACCTGTCCTCTCGTGACGTCGGGGACGAGACGACGGAAACCTTGTCTGTGGGGCCGGCCGTTTGCTTGCATTCAATTCAATGCAGCATTTGCTACTTGCTATTTGCTACTAGGCCCCTTGGATGCGGCCATCGATACCAAATCCCGCGCTAAAACTTTGAGGCGGAATTCGGAATTCCGCGGTGGCAAGCTCGACGAGGCAGTGGCCTGCGCCAGGCATTAATCATGACTTATGCCACAGGTACGCTTTCATCTCTAGCTCCTCTGCTTGTAAGTGAACTTTGTCAGCCTCGGCAATGCTCTCCTCGCCGTACCAGTCGCACGTTGGCCTGTCTCTAGGCCTCGCAAGGACAACCACCCTGGGCAGCTGATCGATTGACTGCCACACCTGGACCGATCGCAGCTCGGATGTCACGGAGTACGGAGTACCGCGGTCGATAGAGCTCGATGACTTTGGACCCCGCCATCTTGAGACAGAAGCACCGCCGCCCCGCAGGACGACGAGACAAAGCGACTTGCCAACGATGAAGGACGGCGACGGCGACGCCGACGGCGACAAAGGCCGAAGGGCCAAGGCGACACCGCCGAGGCACGCAACCTATGCTGAAGCGGAAAAGAACGCCGACGTGTCTGTGGGCGACAGCGACGACGACACCAATGCCTTGGAGGTGCGAATGTCCCCGTCGTCCCAATTGAGGCCGCCGCACCTTTCCTGCCGCGTAGAGCTGACACAAGCCGTGCGAATGAGTTCCCTGCCTCTAGGTGACTTTCGATCCCGCGAATCCATACCGCCGAAAGAGTTCTTTGGTGGCATCAGAGGTAGTGCCGCCGTATGCACACCGGCATCCTGCGACCACCAGGCGCGACCAATGCCTCGTCCATCAGTTTCTGGACAGCCAGCGCCGAGCCAACGCCGCAGTTTCCGACTCTGGTCAGAAACGATACCATGCCCATCCCATATACGCCAGCCCCGATGAGCACGATGAGAGCCCTGCCGACGGGACCAGACAAGAGGACAAGGACGACAGACTTTTGGGATCTAAACACAAGCCCAGGCAAGGCTCGCGTGTCGAGGTAGATGTCTCTAGTCTCGAGGGAGGTCGAGTTGGACAGGCCGACCAGGAGGCCTGGACCCGCATCATGTCCAAGAGTGCCTCGCAGCTGGATCTGACGCAAAACGAAGATGTTCACAGCCGCATGCTCACCAAGAAGCAGCTGAGTGACATGGCATGGGGTGTTCGTGAACTAAGCCGGAGACTGAGCAGCATGCGGATCCGCTTTCACGTCAAGACCATTTTCCTCCTCACCAAGGTGTACGACCAAGATCTTATCCCCAAGACAAGAGACTTGACCAAGTGGCTTTTGCACAAGGAAAGGGACGTTGATTACGTCGTGTACGTGCAAGACAAGTTGAAGACGAACAAGAAGTTTGACGTGGCCGGAATTCTGGACGACGCCGCCAAGAGCTACCCCGTGGACCTGGCCACAGCAAGGGCGAGTTTGGAACGACGACTCCGGTACTGGGACGAGACAATGTGCAGATCGCGGCCGCACATGTTTGACTTTGTCATTACGCTTGGGGGAGACGGCACCGTCCTCTACGCCAGCTGGCTCTTCCAGCGCATCGTCCCTCCCGTCCTGAGCTTTGCCCTCGGCAGCTTGGGCTTCTTGACCAAGTTCGACTTTGGAGAGCACGAAAGGATACTCGGGTCCGTGTTTGACAAGGGCGTTACTGTCAGCTTGCGCCTTCGTTTCGAAAGCACAGTGATGAGAAGCATCAGGCGAAAGTACCCTGACGACGAAAAGGAGTCGGGCGAAGACGACGACGATCTGCACAGGCGCAGGGACTTGGTCGAGGAGTTGATAGGGGAAGAGAGAGAGGACGAACACACTCATCGACCCGACGGCACGTATGAAATCCTAAACGAAGTCGTCGTGGACCGTGGACCGAATCCAAGTAAGGCGCCGCCCTCTTGTTCTGACCGACGGGTACTTGTGTGTGTGTCAGACGCTCTAACAGACTGTGCCAGCCATGTCATACACTGAGATATTCGGAGACGACGAGCATTTCACCTCCATCCTTGCGGACGGCGTGTGCGTGTCCACACCAACGGGATCCACGGCGTACAACCTCGCGGCCGGAGGCTCACTCTGTCACCCCGAAAACCCCGTCATGCTGGTGACTTCGATTTGTGCGCACACGCTGTCATTCAGACCAATCATTCTGCCCGATACGATTGTGCTCCGCGTTGGCGTGCCGTACGACGCGCGAACGGCATCGTGGGCGAGTTTTGACGGCCGTGAGCGGGTCGAGATGAAGCCTGGTGACTATGTGACCATCAGTGCGAGTCGGTTCCCGTTCGCGTCTGTGCAGACGGAGGGCCGGCGAAGCGAGGACTGGGTGAATAGCATCAGGGGAAAGCTGGGATGGAACACGAGACAGAAACAAAAGGAGTTTAAGCAGTGGGATTAGGAGTGTCTGTAGTGAGTGGAATTTGGCCTGCTCGAAAAAGGCAAAACCACAGGATCTGACGAAGCCGTGGACGGTTGTGTACAGATGATTCTTGACGATTTAAAGTAGCATCGTGTCGGTATATAGGGTGGAAATGGGAGTCGGGTTTCCTGTACACGGGCACACAATGTTTGACAGACGACGAATGTGCTGCTGCGAGGTCAAGGATGAGGCTTGCTTTGCAGGCCTTTTATTGCTGTCGATGCCTTGTCGTCGCGAGTCGAGACGGGAGCTCTAGTTGCCGCTTGTACTACGAGAGGCGGAGAGCATTGCGCCTGGTCCCCTTGGAGTAGAAGTTGGGGCAACTAGGCCAAGTGGCTCAGGGGTCAGCGCACATGGACGAAGACTCGGTGGAGCTCGCCTCAAGCTCAGCTCAGCTCAGCGACAGAGGAAGAGCCAACGCAGCGCGCGCCCTCACGAGCAGCCAACACCAGCAAATCGGCCGCCTCCCTTTCCAAGCCGCCAGCCGACTCCTCTCCTCTCCTCTCCTCTCCTCGGCCGCTCACCCCCACGCGACCCTCCCGCCCGGCACCATGGCCGACCTGCCCCCCGACCTCTTCGACCAAACGACCATCATCTCGCTCCTCGCGACCGTCGCCATCGTCCTCGCGGCCTACCTCGCCTCCAAGTCCGTCCTCCCGGCGTCAACATCGGGCACCCTCCGCTTCCTCTTCATCTGGCACCTCGCCGACGCGCTGTGCCACTTCATCCTCGAGGGCAGCTTCCTCTACCACTGCTTCTTCTCGTGGGTGGCGCCCGGGGCCGACGCCGACACGGCCCGCCTGTTCCCCACGCCGTCCAACTTCCTCGGCCGCGAGGACCAGAGGATCTACGGCCCCCAGAGCGGCGGGGACAACCCCTTCGCCCAGCTGTGGATGGTGTACGCCAGGGCGGACAAGCGATGGGCCGGGATAGACCTGGTACGCCCGCCGCCTCCTTCCCAACCGTGACTGAAGAGCTGAGCTGACTTGCTCGTGGTGACTTGTCCCCTTGGCGCGCGGATCCAGGGCGTCGTCAGTCTCGAGCTGCTGACCGTCTTCTTTGACGGCCCTGTCGCCTTGTACATCTGCTACCTGATCAGCCGGGGGAGCCCAAGGGCGCACTTTTGGATGGTTGTCCTCGCCACTGCTGAGCTTTACGGAGGTACGTTCGTGCCGTCGGGCGCGTGCTTGGTCGTGGCCACTCTTGCATTTTGCTGACGTTGAATCAGGATTCATGACCTTTTGCCCCGAGTGGCTCACCGGCAACGTCAACCTCGACGGCAGCAACTTCATGTACATGTGGGTGTATCTCGTCTTCTTCAACTGTCTCTGGGTCGTCATCCCCCTCTACGCCATGTGGTACTCGTACTGCCAAATCTCGAGTGCGTTCAGCGCTCTCGCCGCCAAGAAGAGCAATTAGGGAGGACGCGGGGAGTCCTCACGACGGGCAGGCACAGCTGCGGCAAGCACTAGAACGGGTTGGGACCGCTGGTTTTCACGGACGAAGCAAATGTGGGTTGCGGGCATCACGTTGTGCAAGTAGCTTTGGCTCGCGGGCATCACATTGTGCAAGTAGTTTTGGCTCGCGGGCATCACATTGTGCAAGTAGTTTTGGCTCGCGGTGCGTGTCAGAGCGTCGAGATAAATAACAATAGCTTGAACTGATTGAACTGCAACTATCTAGGGGGTCTATAATAGATATGCCACGTCATTTCAAAAGCACAGTCTGTTCCTCTCTTCCGGCCCCTCAGTAGCCCGTCTAGATCTGCTGCTTGTGAGCCTCGGCCTTGGCATCGTGCTTGTGCTCGTTGGCCTTGTCACCAAGCGCGTCCTTGGCAGCAGAAGCACTGCTGCTGTTAGCTTGCACGTCGAGTGGTGAAGATGAGTATCTGGTCAGGAGGGTGGTCATACCGAGTGCCGAGGGAGGCGTTGCTGTCCTTGGCAACCTCCTTGTTGGTCTCCTTGGAGGCACCGCTGGTGGCCTGCTTGACAGTCTCGGAGACGTAGTTGGCGCCTTGCTTGAGGGAATCCATTTTCAGTGTAGAGTAGGATGTTTTTCTTGATTGGCAAGTAGTGATTTGGTTTGGTCAGGGATTGGTCGTGTTGATGTCGAGAGTGAGAGAAGAGGAGGTATGGGAGAGCCGTCTAGCGGCTCTTTATATACAATTTCGTCACAAACTAGACCGCGGTTTCACGGAGGCTTCCGCAGGGTCCCCCTCATTTCCCGGCAATGACTGTTTTCTTCTCACATGATGAGATGGTAGATGGCATTGCGTCATGGATATTTTGCGAAACCGCCGAGGACATGGCCCGTGTGGTGTTATGGATGCCGGTGGTCAACGGCCGATCCAGGGCGGTTGGGCGGCCTTTCGTCAGAGGTGTGGCTTGCGCAATGGATGACGTCAGGTGGGTGTGGCTTGTGGGTGCTGCTAGCTTATGCAGGCACGGGAACCCACAAAAAGAAGCCGTCATAAATTGCGGGATAACTTCGTGACTGACCTTTTCAGACCAATCTCCTGATGGAGGTTCCTAGCTCCATCAGCCACACGTTGGAGAGGGGCACAGGTGACATAATGACGCACGGCTGTGCGCGGGGGGAGTTAGCCTCGATCGTCTGCCTGCCCTGCCTGCCTCCTTTGATGTGTACCTGCTCAAATAGGTAGTCGGGGCCATGCCGCGACGGACGTTTACCTCCGGTCTTTGGCGTTCTGGGACTTTGCCGTGCCGTGCCGTGTCGTGGCTGCTGCTGGCCTTTGGAGAGGTCCGACGATAGACGTTGCCATGCGGTTCATGTTGGTTCCAACAGCTGCCTCTCTTCGCCAGCCTCAAGTGACTGGTTGAGACCGACGCCGACAAAGGCTGGTGGCGTGCCGCCCGTAACCGCCGGCGCCAGTGCCGTCATGGTCATCGTTCTCGAAACCAATCCTCAGGACTCCGGCAACATATTCGTTGGGTCGTGGAGCTGAGCGTTGTGCCACTTGGAACTCGTAGAAGTATCATTCGAACAGAGACTAGTTGACTCAGCCTCGGAGAGCCTTTCATCCGTGAGGATTCATCTGGATACTACCTGAAGTTGACCCAAGCTAGCCCTCGAGGACGAAGCTCCCGAGCCGTGACCTGAGTTGAGAATAATGCCGACCACGGTAGAAGCGAACCCCAAGATACTGCCCTCGGCACTTGTCCGCCGGGAGAAACATGGACAAATGACAAATACAATATGCTTTCTAGTTTTATATCCTACGCTACGCTTCAAGACATGCTACTGATTTGGCGCAGACAGCTGGTCCAAGACGACTCGGGTGGCTTCCTCCGAGAACTCGTGAGCCATACACAGGGGCTGCTGTTGAGATGGCACGCAATAGACCAAGCAAACTGTCCCTGGGGCCTAGGTGGCGCGTCTGGATGCTTTCCGTCCCCTTTTATAAGCACCCTTAGTACGTATTCTTTCTGTTTCAGTGATGCTTCACAGCCCTATGGCTGACGAATAGGAGCCAGTCGTTCGACGAGAGAGTGGGCTCCAAGGGACGTTAATGCCGGACCCAAACTCACGACTCCACGAGACTAGAGTTCATCCGACCATTTCGTTGCGGGGGTACAGTGGCTGAGCAATTGAACCGCTTCACTTGAACAGTTCTTGGAGGCACCCAGACGGCAGCATGACCTCGAAACTGCGAAAGAGCGAAAGAGCAACGCCGACTGACCTGGGCTGAGGTGGTCATACGCCGCAGTGAGAATCCTAGATTCTAGGGACCGCTGGTGTTGCGCAACTAACGTCCGTGCATCGCTGTCGCGCAGGAAACAAGAGCTGCAGGCCGAATCCTAGGAAACCTGCATATCGGCATGTACGGCAGACCTGATATTGCCTTGGTATCGCGACGTCTTCTGGGCAAACCCCGACGCAAGCTGCCACAGGTCAGTACGAAGTCGGGACGCTGGAGGTTGTAGCAGCGTATGGTCCGGCCCACCGCGAACCAATACGCAGCCGGTGCTTGACGACATGTCGCCTGATGTTGACAGCTCTCGCCTGATGTTGACAACTCTGGGTCTGCAAACAGGAGGCGTGGCTAATCCCGATAAGTCGAAGGCGTTGGCTGTCGGTTTCAAAAAGAGTTGCGGTTTCTGGAGGGTGGACGGGATGGAATTCAAGTCGTGCGTGGGGCCTTCCCTATTGGGCGCAATTTAAGTGGGTACTCAACTTCAGCTTCCTCGCTCGAAACCCCGACTTGTTGCAAGATTGCTCCCATAGTCAAACACCACTCATTCTGAGGTTTTATACCGTTAAGCGGCTCAGGGTTTGACCTTGTGTATCTGAAGCAATTCATGCCGCGCCGCTCCCGCCCGCAAAAGAAACAGAAACGAAATTTGACAGATGACGTGTGGATACCCCGGCGAGGCGCAAATATCGGCTTCATGGTCGCAGCACCGACAGGTAAACACTTCACGCAGACAGTCAAATCAATGGTCGAATGCTGACAGGAATCTGGGCTACACCGCCAGCTTCATCTACAGCTGCCCATCACTAGTTTAACAGAGGTTCAAAAAGGAGCACCTGGAAGGCGTGGCTAGACGCTCGGCCATGGGCGAGATGCGACGGAATCATCGCAACAAAACACAGAGGCGCAGCGTTCAGCCCACCCCTCTGAATCACAGGAGTCAACACCATTGTCTGCCTAAGCTGTGGCACGGTGGCTTCGCCGCTCCCCTGCCAGATGATGTGACAAGATGACTCCTTGTTGGAGGACGGAAGCCCTTTTTCAGTACGTGCTAGGCAGTCACCATGTCTGCGTGCAAACTCCTGACAGGCTTGGTTATCATCTCTAACAAAAGAGATGTGCCTGGCTGCCGTGCTGGATATATCCCCTGGTCCAGCTTTACTATGACAGGCTGCTACGCCTCCCTCTGTGAGGTCGGGGTTTTGCCGTCATCCTGCCCGCCCAGCTCTTCTCCGCAGTCATTTATTGCGTTTGGCTTGTCAAACATGGTTTGCATTCATCTTTCTTTCATTGTTTTGTTTAAATCTCGATTCGTGCCTTTTCGTACGAATCGACTGGGTTGATCCCATCCTATCTTTCTGCTGGATGCTGCTAGTCATCCCCGTAAAACCAAACAACCGCTGTCAGGACAGCCGTTATTATCAACAACAATTCACACCTTCTTGTTTCTTTTCGGAGGTCCTGAACTTTTTTCCGCCGGACGGCTCCGGCTGCGCCCCTCTTCAACGAACCTTCAACTTTCCTTGCCATCACTTGTCTCTACGAGTAACCGGGTTCTGTTACTTTGCTTTGACTCTTTGCCTCCCCTATACACGACGCCAGCCGACTGTATACAACCTCATCACCTTCGAGGCCGTCGAGGCAGCCAGCAGTATAGATGATCTCCAGGGGCGGCGAATAGCAGGCAGCTGGCTATCGGAGCCAAGGCGTCGTGCCTCCTCTGTTCAGGCAACAAGGGATTTCTTTCACCAGTATTCATTTGTCAGCTGGACATCTTTCATCTGCGGCATTTCAAGTAGCCACCAGTTCGACTTCGCCCTCAATGGATGACCATGGCCGGAGGTGGGCAGTCCCACCTTCTTTCGAATTATGGCCCAGGGCAGGGGAGCTCAAGGCTACCGCCGATGGATTCGGCTTCCAAGGGAATAATTCGGCCGCTTTCATCAATGAGGTCACATTTGCGGCGTCCAAGTCAATACGGACATCTTTTGTAATTCTGGCTTGTTTCAATGCTCTGGTTGGTGCCACGACAGCGCTTGGTATTTGTTGGGATTGTTACCTGACTGCGAGGAGACAAGACCCCAACCTTAGGCTGAGGTGAGTGCATTTGACGACTTGAAGTAGGGACGACAAACTGAAAAGCGTACAAATACTGACGTTTGAGAGGAGGCCTTTCTTTTGGAGGTTCCTCGGCCCCGCTGAGGTCTTCCCCTTTGTGCTATCGTTGGGTACCGTGGTGCAGGGGATCATCTTTGCTGCCATTCAGTCGTTTGGCCTGGATGCACTTCTAGTTCTGGGCTGTAAGCCTCTATCACAAGCGATGCTTCCAGGTGAGATGACATGTTCTTGTCCTTGGCAAGGATGGCTGTGCATGTAACTGACCTCGCTCTGCCAACACAGCCTTCTTTATTGTACCGTACATTCAATTCGCATTTGGGCTTGAGGCAGCAGTCCAGGCCCTTCGTCCATACCAACCTTTCTCCCCGCGGCCAAAATGGAGCGTCCCAGCGTGTCTGGCTGGGATATTTCTCGGGCTGGTTATGACTTTCGTTTTGACGCAACTCCAAACACCCCCCAACTTCTGCTTACCTTCGCTCGCATTCCTTCTTCGAAGATGGGGAATCAGTTGCTTCAGCCTTCTTGTTGTAATTGGAGTGATGTTGCTCACAGGAAGTGTCGCTACATTTGTGCGGCTGTATCGTGTTTTGGGCATTGGCGAGCAGCAGAGAATTACCGCAACGTGGATGGCGTGGTTCATGGCTCTGGGTGCCCTGGCGGCTGTAAGTCTACTCGGGGATGATGACTTTTCTTTCTGATACCTCGCCTTTTCTAACTCTCACTGCAGTTCATCATGGCGCCGTTCTTTTATGTGGCGGCTGTAAAAGATCAGGTCCAAGCTGCAGCCGCGCTGTCAGAATTGTCCATGGCTACCGTTGTGGTGTCCAACCTAACGGGCCTCGTTACCGGCGGAATGTATGTGCTGCTTCGGTCAAGCAAGATCGGAAAGCTTGGCCCCAAGGGCTACTTCGAGTTTGACTCGCGGCGGCTTATTGGGCGCCCCAAGTCGAGTATTCCACCCGGCTTCATCTTTACAAGGCAGATGGAGCAGCCCGTGCCAGTGCCTAGGCAATTGTCTTTTCCTGAGCGCCGAGCGAGTAGCCTCTATCCTGACGGCAGGCCTAAAACACTCGCAGTTGGTCTGGCAACTACGACTCCCGGTCCTGTCCTGTCCCAAGAAACACGCACTCAAAAGACCTCTGCCTACGACATGGTCCCGCGAGACACCGTCTCCGACAAGCCCACGTATATCCTCCCAGCCACAGCCTACATACCTTTCAGCAAAGATGAGGCTCTCAACCCATTTGCTGACGAATTTCTTCCCCCTCCCGCCATCCGATTATCAGGCGGCAGACGGAATCGGGGATCATCGCTGGGCTCGTCTGCCAGCGTCCCAATTGGCCTCCGAGTCTCCAACATTGACGACATGCCCGCCGTCCAGTCGTACTACGAAGCTCCGCCATCTCCTCGACCCACGCCTCCGAGCCGGCTCGTTTCAGGCGCGGCCGCTCCCCAGGTGTCAGACGGTCGCGACCTCCCAAGGGATGAGAATTCAAACCAAGACAAGAATAAACAACTACCGCCTGTGCCCTTGGCGTTGACGGGAAATCCGTCTGTGAATGAGGCCGAGGCAGAGAAAGTTCGTCTCGGTACGGCGGCGTACAATCCCCATAGGACGCCGAGCAAAACCAAGGCCAAGATTGGCAGTCCGAATGCGCGACCGCCCGGCCCTTCCCACTCTCCAGAGAGCTATCTTGGCGTCGACAAAGCCGAGTGGATCTAAGAAAGAAAAGAGAGAAGCGGGGAGGACAAGACAACTTCACATAGATGTCGTTTCTCCCCTCTACTACAGGCGGCAATTACATGTTTTCAAGTGTAATCATTTAGGTTCAAGAGGCGTTTTCCTCGTATGGTTGGAAACTCTACAGCGGTCAGGAACACGACCGTCACAGTCGTTATCAGTATCGTCTTGGGCGTTTTTGAAAGTTTGGACGATTGGTCGCGGGGACATGGATGTCGTCGCCAGAGAAGACATGTACAGTACAGATGCAGGGCACGGGGTGCCGGCGGCATGGCCGTTGCCAGCAACAAATGTTTGAAGCAGCAAATTCAAAAATATCGCCGACGACATGTGTGAAACCATCATGGGCGCTAGGGTCATTTACAAAACAGCGTCAGCCCGTCTTGGCCTTGTTCCTCCGCTCCCACTTCTCCCAGCCGGCCTGGCACACATCCTCGCTGACAATCAAATCCCGCAGCCGCAGCAGCCTGGCAATGGGCAAGTCCAGCCCCCACGCCAGCAGCCCCGTCTGCCGTGCCACCGAGGTCGCGGCGAACCAGGCCAGGGCGACGACGACGCCGGCCATGCTCCCGGCGACGACCTGCCTGGGCGTGTGGTAATTCAAGTATATCCTGCTCCAAGCCGTGGCGGCAGCCACCGCGGCCGCGAGAAGCGAGAAGCTGACCCTCTCGAGCACCGACCACGGCCTGTTCCGCAACGGGCCGCCCTTGGAGTCCGGGCCGGGGCTGGCGCGCGGGTGCGGCCTGTGCCGGACCAGCAGGAAGAGGACGACGGACACGCTCCAGAATGCCACGAACTGCGCGTGCGAGCTGGGCATGCCGTAGCCCTTGCCGTGGATCCTGCGCGGCCGCTCTTCCTTGATGAGCCGCTTGAGGAGGAAGTTGAGCGCTTCGCAGCCCAGCTGGCCGGCGAACATGAGTACGATTTCGATCTCGCGCGTGGACAGGATGAGGGTGGTGTACACGATGCAGAGGGCCTGCGGGAGGAGGGCGAGGTACGCGCACAGCAGGGACACTTGGTCGTCTGGGTCCTGGAGGGCGTTTGTTAGCCATGCGGCGGGAGAGGGTTCTTTTTTTTTTCTTTTTTTTCTTTTTTCTCCTTTTTTCTTTCTTCTCTTTTTTCCTTTTTCTTTTTCTTTTTCTTTTTCGTTTCATGCAAGCTCGAGGGAGAACGGCGCGCATGCAGACGCACGTCGTTTGCGACGCCCGGCGGCATTGTAGGTTTCAAACGGGACGATCAACCGCGGGGGGAGGGGGGGTGAGAGACCTACATAGTACACGTGCGTGACGGATAGCGACGCCAGCGGCGCGGTGTCGTCGAGCATGGTCGTTGGGCCGGGGGAGTAGAAGCCGCAGATGCATGCTCCGTATCTCTCTGGTCCAAGGGATTGGGGGTGCGAGGAACCGATCCCCTTGTCAGGTGTTGAGGAGTACGGAAGCGCCGACTCGTGATGGCTGCCAAATGGCAGGCAATGGTGCCTGGCGGCAGAATCTGCGACCGCCTGCCGTAGTTGGTTTGTGGGGTCAAAGGCCAGAGTTGCCATTTCGGGAAGCGATTTTATTGTATTTTCAACACGGGTGTTTTGACCAATTTTTTTTTCCCCAGTCTCCTTTGCCTTCAGTCTCCTTTGCCTTTGTCTTGCGCGGGCTGCTTTCTTTTTTTTTTTTGTTTTTTTCCCTGACCGGCACAGGCTGAACGAAGCTGGGACATGTCACCTGCGTAGGGGCGAGCCCTTGACTAGAAGCACGAAGTGGGAAGTGGGCGGTGGAACCTCGAGGGAGTCATACGGCTCACGCTCACGGTCAACAGCCGAGACGGACGGACGGCACTTTCAAACTTGAATTTTTTCCCACCATCACTGCGTCGATACAATTCATCTCTGGTGCTCTCCATCTTCGCTTTTGACCCGGAGCTCGGTCTGTCCCGTCGAGGGAATATATTCCGCTCAAGCGCCGCCGAGTTGGCTCCTCGGGCCACGGATCTTGCCACGGCCGCACAAGGTCCGTGAACAGATGTATCTCTCGCATTGCGCGACGACGTGCTTATAGCCACGGCCCGACCCCAGCCAGCCGCGGCATGCATTTCACATATTTCGGCGACGGCTCAGACAATGTGACCCCGTCACGCACAGTTGCGCGCACACGACACCATGGATACCGCGGGCGACGACGACGACCCTCGGCTGATGGAGCTCGAGACCCTCGAGGCGATATACCCCGAGATACGGCACGCGCTCGCCCATCCCCTGGGCGCGCCGGGAGAGGCCCCGCCGCGCTTCACGTTTGAGCTGGAGCTTCCCGTAGACCCGGCAGAGCCGGTCACCATTCTCTTCCCAGCGCCGTCGTCTGGCTTGGCGCCGGATGAGCGCCCGGGCCTCGCCTCTGCCTCTGCTCCCGCCGCGATGGCCGCAGAACCACTCGATTCCCTTCTCGTCTCTCACCTGCCCCCCTTGTCGCTGAGGATCACGCTCCCTGACGGGTACCCCTCGCGCAAGCCGCCTGCTGTGACGATTTCCACCACGCCGCAGTGGCTTCCGCGCGCCACGCTTCGCGCCCTCGAGGACGACGGGGCCCGGCTGTGGGAGGAGGCAGGCAGGGACATGGTCGCCTACGCGTACATTGACCACTTGCAGAGGGGGGCAGAGAATGTCTTTGGCGCCGTCGGGACCGGGTCCACGCTCGAGGTCGATGCCGAGCACAAGCTCGCCGTGTTGGATCACGATATCAATGCCAAGAAGGCGGCCTTTGACAGGGAGACGTTTGAGTGCGGGATATGCTTGGGTGAGCACCTCCACGCCTCGCCTCTGGAGCCGTTTCCAGGCCTGCAAACTCGGACGAGGGCGCGAGCGTTGCTGACCAGAGCGTTTAGACCCCAAAAAGGGCCCCAGGTGCCACAAGATGATGGACTGCGGCCACATCTTCTGCCTCCAATGCCTGCGGGACTTCTACGCCGACGCCATCGAGGAGGGCAACCTGTCGGCGGTCCGCTGCGTGACGCCAAATTGCGCCAGGGCTCGCGCAACGTCATCGCCGTCAACGTCCGCGGCAAAGGGGAAACCCAAGGTCTTCATCAGCCCCAGCGAGCTCCTCCAGATCGGTCTCCCCGAGGACTTGGTCAAGCGCTACGTGACCCTCAAGTACAAGACGGAGCTCGAGGCGGACAAGAACACAGTCTACTGCCCGCGCAGATGGTGCAACGGAGCCGCCCGCTCGAAGCGTCATAGAAAGCCACAAGGGCTGGAGTTTGCCGAATCCTCGGGCGACGAGACGCCCGGCACGGTCACCGAGGACGGCGCCGCCCACCATGTTGGCGAAAAGACGAGTGCCAAGAAATTCGATGCTGCGGATTTACTGGCCGTCTGCGAGGACTGCGGCTTCGCATTCTGCAGCAGGTGTTTGCACACGTGGCATGGCGAGTTTGTGCGCTGCGCACCGAAACGCAACAACGGGGAGTTGGCGGAGGAGGAGAAGGCGTCTCTGGAATATCTACAACTACACACGAGTCCATGTCCTACGTGTAACGCGCATGCGCAAAAGACCCACGGGTGCAATCACATGATTTGCTCGCGATGCGACACGCATTTCTGCTACCTGTGCTCGGCGTGGCTGGATCCTGCGAATCCGTATAAGCACTTTAATACGCAGTCTGACGGCAAGGTGACATCTTGCTACATGCGCCTTTGGGAGCTGGAGGCCGGCGACGGAGACGATGTCGGACTGGGCTACGCTGGTGGACGGGAGGCAGGAGGGGTGCCCGTTGGGGGCGAGCATCTCGCGGGAATCGTTCCCGAGGTCGAAGAGCCCGAGTCCGACGACGACTCTGGGTCCGACAACGAAGCGGACAACGAAGCGGCGCTGGAGGCGAATCCCCGCGCCGTTGCTGTTGCCAGAGAAGCGCCTCTCGTCCTTCGCCTGATGGACAATCAGCCTCCTCAGCCTCCTCCTCCTCCTCCTCCTCCTCCTCGTCCCGCCCCAGCAGCCAGAGGACGCGGCCAGGCGCACCACCGCCCCCAAGGTCGAGGAAGAGCACAGCATCATCACCCCGTTCCCCAAGGCGCCCCCCATCGTCGCGGACCGCCAGCGCCACGAGCAGCCCGAGGCCATCATCACGGAGCAGGTCGTGGCAACGCAGCACAGCAAGACGCTCGCGAGGCAGGCGTACCCAACGCACAGCCGGGCGCCCTCGACCCAGCCCAAGAAGCCTGGGTTCGCCGCTTCGTTCAATTGGCACTCCTCGACGTCGAGGACCAAGTTGAAGGGGGGGACTCCGATTCCGACGATGGCAACTGGCAGATCCGGTGACGGGCAACCCCCCTTCCTCCCTCATTTGTGTGCAATGCACCTCGGCAAGGTCACGACTCACGAGGATGAGGGCGCCCGGGCAATCATGTGGGCAAAGACATTCTGTTGGGGAGGTATTTCAGCAGGTCAAGGGGGGCTTTACAGGACCATTTTGCTCGACGGACAATTCAGCGCCACCAAGCGTCTCCTGTCCCAGTTTTGTAAATAGACCCGCGGGCCACGTTTAGGAATACTCTAGTAGAAATCGAATGGCATGGTCAGCGAGCGTGGATCAAGGGAACCCGTCACGCCGGTTGTCCGTTCGAGTAGTCCGCCGGGGGCGACCACGGAAAAGGAACAGATGGATGATGCTACGAGTCTGGGTGCGACTGTATGTATGGCTTCGGCCCACGCACGCGTCTCGTTGGATCGCACAATGGCGGCCGGTGGACTCGGGACTCGTCGACTCGAACCACGAAATGCCGGCGCTTGACGTGCGCCGCGGCCGCGTGACGACTGGCTGAGCCTCGGGACTTGCTGTGAAGAAGAAGAGTCGGCCTCGTCCGCATTACGTGACTGGGGCGTCTAAGATGCCGCTGTTATGCCACCCGCCGGCGCATCTTATATCTTGTACCGTACCGTGTCCCTGACTCCCCTGCAGCATTGGGGGAAATGGCCAGACGGGACTCCGTACGCACACCCATGGCATGGCGCCACAACGGTCGCGCGATAAGTTGTAGATAGTAGCACAGAGCTGCGTTTTCGCACGCCATAGTACCACCTCGAGTCATGTCATTTGTATATCCAACATGGAGGCGCTGCTGGATACGGAAGGAAGATGGGGAAAACGACATCCAACCGCCAGAGCCGAAACGTCTTAGACGCCTCTGTTAATGCAAGGTTCTCATTACCTTGGCGCTCGTCGGACGCGTACGCACTCGAGCAGCCGCAGGCGTGCATTGTTAAGGCTTCCCATTCGCTTGGGGGTCCGAAATGCATTGTCGTACCGGAAAGCGAAAAGGACGACGAAACCAGAGGGAAATGAAGACTGGTTGGGGGTTGTTTCACTCAGAGTCGTCCTGTTCCCCAGCCTGTTCATGGCTAAATTTAGTGTGCCCTTGAGACAAATCTTGTTCCGTGTACGTACGTACGTATAATGATAAAGGAGGCGAATTTCATCAGAAACACCAACGACCCGACAAGGACAAGGCACATGAGAAATCTCGGTCCACTCCTTGTCGCCCCTTGGTTTTGCTCCATAGCATGTCATCGCATCGGATTGCTCCGTGGCCCGTCACCTACTTATCTGACCCCGACCTGCTGGTGCGACTGACAGCGAGAGGATTCGTTTTTTTTCCACAGTCGCCTGCCACGCGTATCAATGTCAGCTTTTGTTTCCCCGCTGTCCTCTGGTGACGAAATCGTGAGGAGCGGACGGAACATGCCAATACCAAACAACCAAAAGGGGCCCGGAACTTCACGCGCGCTTGGGCGAAGTGGGATCGACCGATCATTCTGCAAATCTGAGAACCGACTCCCGGTGTTGCATCGGTCGCCGTGATGGAGGCTGGATAGAGTGTGAAGGCCAGGACAGGGGCCAGGACCAGGGACGAATGAATGGCCAGAGGAACCAATATCCATCCTCCCTCCACTGCTACAGATATGACATACTCCGTACTCCGTACAAGAGCTCTCTCTGTTCGTAGCCAAAGAAACCACCACCATCTGCCAAAAAGTCCCGAATACCACCCTGGGGTTGTTCGTGTGGTTTTTCCCGCCCGGCAAATTCGGCTGACCACGATGAGACCAGAAGTTAGTTAGCATTTTCCAAAATGGGCATTCGCCATGCAGCCATTACGCTCGTCAGCAATTTGGGGGCGGGCGGCGGCACAAGAAGACATGGTGCTTATTTGCTGGCAGACAACTCCGTACGGAGTAAGCTGTCTCATACACATGAAAAGACGCCAGAGTGATGCTGAGCAACCTCTGAACAACTGCCCAAGAACAGACACGCACAGGGGGAGTCGTCATGTGTCTTCAAAGTTACCCGCAACCAGGGACGCAACTCGCTGCTCTGGAGTCTGCACAAGGGCCACATGGGTTCCATCAATATGATAGATTTATTTCCCGCCTCTCCTCCCCAGTACCGAGTATGTCGACAAAGTCTTGCCTGCCTGCCTGCCTGCCTGCCTGTATGATTCGGGCCTTCCAAAAGCTACAGGCGGGCCGGTTCGTTGATGACGGGGGTGGCAAGTTGAGCATGTGCTTCGAGACAAAGGAGAAGGGGGCTCTCCTCCCGTAGCCACAGCAATATACGGGGGTTCGATGTGTACGGAGTACGGAGTACCACTTCAGGGGTTTGCGTCTTTGTGGTTCGCCTGTGCGCATTGTTGAAAGGTTTATCCTCTCCGTAACTACTCAATAGCAGCATCTCCAACGCGTTGGGAACCAGGCTGGCATCTTCTCCCTCGCAACAACCGCAAAACACATATCCAGGGCGGCATGCTTCCAGGAGAGATAGCTGCATCATCTCTTGCAGCTTTGCGGAGATGCCATGCACATCGACTGCGTACACCGCAGAATGATGGCATCAGGCTCCTCCCTGTTTCCGTGGGTGCCCTGATTCCGTCGACCTGGACCGACGACATGACATATGTCGTCTTCGCAGCACCTGCCAGCACCTGTCATGTCACAAGGAGATGCCGCGGTACGCCGCGGCAGGCCTCCACACATGGAGCGCGAGAGCTTCCAGTCCGAATCCAGTCGCCCCCCCCTTTCAACCCACTGTTTTCCGATCGGTACTACAAATTATAAAGCCGATTCGAAGTGGAGAAGGGCTCCACGGTCAATTTGTCGGCTTGACGTTGATGCTGCGGTTGATCTTTTTTGGAACTGGTGGCACCAACCTTTCCAACCACGCCCGCTTTGGCCTCATCCTTCTTTTTGGTGAGCTGGGGGCGATGGGGGGGACAGATGACGGGTTATTGCGCCCCATTATCACTCAAAAATGTCGCCATTCTAACCGGATGCTTTGTGGGTCAGAGGAATGCGAACGAATAACGATTCCGTTAATACCCCCTGCCTTGAGCCCTGCGCCGAGTCTGATTACCCTTCGGACCCGAGTCACGGAGCACTTGACACGCTTGTAATGTATTTTGGATTGGAAAAAAAAAAGAGAGAAAAGAAAGAAAAACGACGCTGACTGTAGCATGTCCACCAGGTAAGCTGTCGACTGGAGTGGGCCGTGATTTTTCCTTCTGGACAAAGCTATAGTGCAGCCGTGTTGCTGCAAGCGCCAGCGCCGTTGAGGTGTGTCGTCGGTGTTGACAGAACGGCGCCTAAAAATTGCGTGTATGTAATGCAGCCAAAGCTTCTCCCCGCAGTTGAGCGTGGATAATGAATCAAGGTTCTACGACTGCTCTTCGGACCTGCTCATCAGAAGTCAGCGAGGGACTCAAAAGCAAATTATTCTCACGCTTCTTGTTGAGCCAACCAGAATGTTCCGCAGTGAACAGCTCCAGACCCTACTCGTTCTCGGCACCAGGCAGACTTCAAGACTCGCAGAAACAAGGCATATTCGCTGCTGCCTACGAGATGGGAAGGTGGAAGATTGCTAATGAGGACGATCTGCTGCTTAAACTACGCAACGTTCGGAGACTTGTCTCTCTATCCGTCGTTGTCTGTCTTGCCACGGTCAGGGCATATTAGCTCCTGTTGCAAAAGGGCTCGTGGTTAGTGAACCGCTAGTAACTATGGCTCATCAGTCATGCAAACCAGAGACTCGCAACCTCTTGTCCCAAGTAATTTGAACTCTGGTTCCCTGCACGCATGGGTACCCTGATCCCATGTTCCACTGCGTGCAGACTCACGCTCAAAGCCGTTATAAGATGGACCAACCAGTGGAAGAAGTAATTCTCCAGGCCGCATCCCCCGCGACTCCGCGACCGGGGGCATATTGGAAGAAGGGAAAAGAAAGGGCAATTCATGCACCAACGGACGACGCCGACGCGTTCGAGGAATAGACAGGGCCTGCTGCTAGTCGTCTAGCGAGGCCCCAGGCCGACCGGAAGCTCTTCGCATTGGTGTGAACAGGCTGGTGCGCCGGGTCTAACGATTTCGGCCGACAATCTCAGTCTAATGTGGCTGCGAAAGCAAAGGCAAGCGCGCGGAGATCGTCAACGAAATTGGTGGGCCAGCCGAATGAACCACACTTGGCGAACCTTTTGCTGCCAATCGTCTGTCATTACACCCCCAAGCCGCCTAGATGTGGGCGGCAAGGCTACCCATGACCCAAGGCACCTTTGTTGGCTTTGCCGTTTGTGATGGTTGTTGCGTCTTGACGGGACGGTCCAGGGCGTGCCAGGCCTCGGCGGTCATTGGAAGGAAGCGCTGATGATGTGCCCAATATGTCGTTCACTGCGAGGGATCATGGGCTCCTGTGGCAAGCAAGTAGCTGGCATGTCCCGACGGCCTCACAATGATTGAGAAGTGCTTGTCAGCTCTGCAGGCTCTCGCATGTTTCTACACGCTTAGACATACTCGTCAGATGCAATCCAGCAACTGGCTTGAGGCGGTGCGCATCGGTATCGACGGGTGTTGATCTCTTCCTTGGAAGGTGTTGTGCCGTCCCTCACAACTCCGCGCTCAAGGCGGATGCAGATATTGACCTGTAGTGTTGCCGACTCACGTCATCTGCATCGAGCACGAAGTCCTGAGCCTTGCAGTCAAACCCAGCTGATCATGCCCAATGTTTGCCACTCAGTTCCGCGCGCCAAGAAAACTCCGGAGTTCAACAAAGGCTTGACATTCGGTTCGTTGAATCATAGATACCGAACTATCCCCCTTTGCTTATCCCGTCTCGACTCGCCATAGTATCCAGGCTGGAGGTTCCCGGAAGCTCCGCTGGAGCATCCATCGCAGGCCAGGAGGGGCGACTTTCAACACCAGTTGGCCTCGAGAGATCTGGGACTAACCGACGGGCTCATTCATCCCTTCTCCCGTGTTTTGCAAGCCGTTCGCTG